GGATGAAGATGTTCACATCCTGGACAGAGAGGAACGATGGTTTGAGAGAGGAGTAAAGGAGGCCATCTTTGTGAAAAGAAATCGTCCATCATTAAACAGGGGTGGAGGCCTCCGGGTTCAACTGTCCCCCTCTTACAATGCTGTGATTGCTAGTATCACTCAGCCCTCTGTGAGTAGTAAACAGCCATTAGTGTGCTAATGACCCATTGTTAGGCTGATGGTCCTTCTTGAGCATGTGATCAGCTGGTTTTGGTTGTCAGCAGCAAACTGGTTGATCCACTCTGAGAAGGTGCTATTTAAGAGACTGAGCTGAAAACAGCACCTCAGACTGAGGAAGTCTTTCGGATGAGAGACGAAACGTTTCTACATTTTTTGTTGTTTTGCTTTGTTTTTTTTGAATGTCCAGATGACCAGATTTAACTTTTTTAGATTTTTCTACCTGGATTATTGAGCATGCATCAGGAAACCTAAAAGTAGGTTTAAAAACAAAACTTTTTTTTAATTAATGTGAATATTTCATCTATCCTATACTACAAATCTAACTGTAGGAATGTCAATTTGAGTACAGTCAGATACTGTTTTACACATTAATATTTTTATTATGAAACGTATTCAATTATTGGATTCAACGGCCTGCCTTACTCGGGAGCGCAGTTTGGCAGTTCGGACGGATTAGTGTAAACACACCCTTGCAGGTGATTGGTGGAGACGTTTTAGCGCGGCGAGACGCAGCCAATCAGAGGATTGTTTTTCTTTCACGTCGTTGTACGGATAGTAAGCTAACGGACAACGCGAATGTAAACTTACATAAATAACGCGGTTTGCTGCTTATAGCCATACTGTTGGCGGTGGTTTTAAATGACTGAAACAAGCCTCTTTGTCGGGATTATGTTTGTGGGAACATGGTATTGCCGTCACTGCGAGGATATAAAATTTGGGTAAGGTAAGCTAACTAAATTAGCTGTAGCTTGCTAGTTTCTTAAGGTTCCGCAAGGCCGCGGAGAACACGAGAGCTGCTTCCCGTTCTCACTTAGCTGAGAATGTAGTTTACAGCTCAGGTGCTAAACACGCAACGATAATCAGAGCTGCTTGATTTGTGGTGTAATCGGTTGCATTTGTTTAAAAAAATAAAATAAAAATAATCCGGGCTACCTAGCTTGCTAGCATGAGTGAAGTGACGGACTGCAAACTGTCCGCGGACTCTGCATCGAGGAAACGGTGTCCATCACCCGGCCAGGATGAAGGTAGTACAATTCCCCTAAAGTCCTCTAAAGTAAGTGACGATGCATGTGCAACAGAGGCTACGTCAGAAAGTTGCAAAAACAGTGAAAGTGAAAACAAAGAAGCCCCACAGATAAAGCCCAAAGATACTGGGAGTGAAGGCGATGCTTCGCAGAGAGTGCAGGGTTCAGACAGCAGCAGTGTGCAGGCTGCCAACAGCTCCAGAGCTGACAGGAAAGATGCCAGCAAACCCCACACCTCGGGCACAAAAGCATCTGTGGATGCAAAAAAAGAAACGGAGAAAACAGCTGGATCGGAGCAGAGTCCCTTACCTCCCCAGTCTGACTCAGCAGCCATAGCAGCCGCTGAAGCTCTGGCCAGTCTCACAGGAGGAGACGGAGAAGAAAGTCAGGAGACCCCATGCTCATCTGAAAAAGCTAAACAGGCAAAACATGGGAGCAAGTACAAGCAACGGGGAGGCCACCAGTCATCAAAAGCTGGCTCAAAGACACAGGCGGCGGCAGCTGACAGCTCCACATCAGTGCGGAGCGCAGACAAAGAGGCTGGAGAGGATGTTCCCGAGGCAGACGAAGGGGATGAATCAGGATCTGGATCTTCCTCCACACCAAGCTCCTCTTTCCCATCTGACAATGAGGACAATGATGATGGGGAGTGTGCGATTGTGTCAGTTAAGATGGCCCCAGAGATGAGGCAGTCTGTGGCTCTGCTGGCACAAGTGCAAATGAGACTCGAAGCTCTCGAGAAGAAAAGCGCCCGACTCCATCAACGGCTGGAGCAGAAGATCAACCGTCAGAGGCGTCCACATCTGGATCAGAGAAGCTCCATCACAAAAACTATTCCTGGCTTTTGGGTGACCGCTGTATCCTTAAAATGAGAACATCTCACAGCCTCTTCTTTGTTTTTGAGTGTTTGAAATGCACTAGTTTAGTTTTTTATCTTAACCTCAGTGTCCTAGCTGTTGAACCACCCTCACCTCTCAGCTCACATTGATGAGACGGATGAAGATGCTCTTAGTTACATGACTGACCTTGAGGTACGATGTGTTGGTCTACTTTTACTGCAAGTCTGGTTAATACAAGTTAAAGCAGCAGATTGATTTTTCTCGTGTTCTTTCTCAGGTTGAGTCTTTTAAAAACAGCAAACTGGGCTGCAGGATTCGCTTCCACTTTAGACGAAACCCATATTTCCAGAATAACATCATCATGAAGGAGCTGCACCTTGGAATGGGAGGTAAATGTTTGGCATTTCCCCCCAAAACAAACTCTTCTAAATCAGCTTATTCACTTATATTTTAGAGACTAAAAGACAAGATCAGCAAATAAAAAGTGACATATTTGTCCAACATCCACCACCAAAAAGTAGTTTTATATAAAAATGTAAGTTGAAAACTGAGGCAAAGGTTAAACAAGATGTAAGACCTTGCACAGATATTTCAGGTAAACAATAAAATAGTATGATGTGACTATTTTAGCAACTTGTAAATTTTAGGTTTGTTACCATAAATGTTGTTTAGGTGCAGTACCTTGTTGTTTGGGGTTTAATAATGTTTGACTGGATTTACAGCTTGTGATGGAATTTGGCTGCAGTATGACTGAAATGAAAAATTCACATTTATTATGATTTTGAACCACCCTATGGATCATTGCTGCTCGTGCTTTCAGGTTCGCCCATGTCCTTCTCCAACCCCATACTCTGGCATCGTGGACACAACCTGACAGCTAACAGTGAGCCCAGGAAGTCGTCGCGTGGGGTTTACGAGACCTTCTTCAGCTGGTTCAGTGACCACAGTAACCCAGGGCAGGACGACGTAGCACAGGTAGACATCTTCACCTGCACGTGCCTCTCATGTCACAGTTTATCTTCAGGGCTTCTCCGCTTCGTGTGCCAGAGTGTGGTGGAGGTCAGAATTATAAAGTCTGCTGCCTCAAACAAATGTGAACAACTGATGCTTAAGTGTGGCTTTAAACAGACCAGATTACAGTCTGAATCATCAGCTCTCAGTAGGTGTGTTGGAGGCATTTTTGCCCAATATCTGAGTTTTCTATTTGTGATTGGGTCACACCTGATGCCTTTCAACACCTGTCATTTATAGAGCCTTGTGAAATGCTTCAGTTTAAACTTGCCTTTTATTAAATGAACTATGATAAAACAGAATAAAACCTGCCAGCTAACATTTGTTATTCAGTGCTGTTAGTCTCGTGACAGCATTAAATCAACACATTGATTTGTTTTTGTTCATAATCTGGACAATAGCTAAAGAATCTTGTCCACATGTTTTCTCCAACATGCTTACTAGGGCTGGGCGATATCGATATTTTAAAATATTGAGATAATTTCGTACACGATATAAGATGGGACTATATCGATATGTCTACGTTGAGTTATAATTAGACTTGAAAATCCATGTAGTTCTTTTCTGTCCGTCTGTGCCATCTTCATGCCTTCATGCTCCCCCTCCTTCTCCCTCACTGAATACAAACACCCCCCACGCTTCCTACTTCTCCAGGTGGGCAGGAGTTTAACACAAGTGAACATGGGAGAGGATATCAAAGAGCAGCTTAGCTGCTGAGCAAAAAGAAAAACAATGGCTGTTATTTGGAGATGGTTTGGATTTAAATTGTCAGATGAGCAGCAGCAAAATGTTTTATGTAGACAATGAACACAAGTCCCGACAACAGGCCGGCAATACGAATCTTTCTCACCATTTAAAACAGCGCAGTAAGTGGATTATGAAGCGCATGTGAAGCTGCAGCTCTGACTTGACTTCAGCCTCTTTCCCTGAAACAAACCACGGGTCAGAACTCATTTATTAGCCGTGCTGTGCCTTATGAGAGGTAGCGTGACATTAATAAATCAGCAGCTTATCATATTGCTAAAGACACAGTCCCAGTCTCAACTGTGGCACAAGCGGGCTAAAGTTAGCTGTATTGTTAGCTGCTAAGGACCGTGTCTTTAGCGATATGATAAGCTGCTGCTTTATTAATGTCAGGCTACCTCTCACTGTAGGACGTACAGATCTGTGTAGTTCTCCTTTTTCTGCCTGTCTGCACCTCCAACTTCACACGGCCCCCCTTCTCCCTCACTGAATACAAACAGCCCCTCACTGCAGCTTCACACACGCTTACTAACGTCGTGAAGGCGGCGCTGCTGAAGAGGATTATTATTTAATATATGTAAATAAATATCTAAAAACCAAACTTTAATATATGCAAATAGTTTATTTTTGAAACATTTATTTTGTACAGTTACAGCTGTTGTTAATAAATGTGCCTGTGTGACAACTGGGACAAAGCTTTGACTCGGGTATATATTTTTATTACTTTATGGAAAGAAAAAAAAAATATATATATATATATATATATATGTGGGACGGACCTTTACAAGAGATCCTTCCTGTCTACAGCCATCAGTATCTATCTTAATGAAATGAGGAGAATGAGTTACAACATTTAATTTCTCTTTGGGATTAATAAAGTATTATTGAATTGAATTGAATCTTAAAATTGTGAGAGATTAATTTTGATCCATATCGCCCAGCCCTAGTAGAAACCAGCAAATTGTCAACTTGTGCACATCTGCACCTGGACAGGGTGCACGTCAGATGAGACATAAAATAAATGCTGTGTAAACGGCAGCATTGTGGTAGAACAGCCAGGTGAGCTCTATTATTATTTAGATAATGGGGAGTGGTGGCGCAGAGGTTAGAGAGGTGGGCCTGTGATCCGAAGATCGCCGGTTCACGCCCCGTCCCCGACAACATCAAAATTGTGGGTGGGGTAGATGAAACACACAAACTTGCCCCCACCCTCATTCGCCCCACTCTGGGCCCATGAGCAAGCCCTTAACCCCCACCATGTGCTCCCTAAAAAAAGCAGGTCTCTCTTGAAAATGAGTTCTCGTGGCTCAATGAGACTAACCTGGATAAATAAAGGCTAAATGAAGAAAAAAAAAAAAAATTATTTGTACTCGCAGTATTGCTCAAAGAGTTCAGAAGTCCTGACTGTGTATAATTTTTCAACAATAAATAAAGAAGCATTTTTGCTCATATGTTTCCTGGATGTTAAACATGTTTTTGGTTTACAGGAATGTTAATAGTGTATTAATTTTAACACTTTAACAAAACAAACTTGAGTTGCTGATGCTTTGTGCTGTTGTTTAGATTCTTAAAGATGACCTCTACAGAGACCCGCTCAGATACTACCTCACTCCTCTCTGGGAACCAAGAGAAAATGGAAGGTAAAACAAAACGCATCCTCATTTTTCTCTTCAAGCTGTTTGCTCACATACGGTTTGTAAAATGCCATCAGTCAACAAAGCTGTAAATACATTTTAAAAAGATCCGCAGCTTTAGTTTTTCACAGGTTTATGTAACTATTTCTTTGTTTGTATTAAAACAAATCTGCTGAGACCACGCAGGGTAAGAGGAATAACAAGCGTTTTCCTCTTCGTACAACTGGACGCGTGTCCATGTTTTTATTTTTCTGCAACAGTGGAGCCGAGGCCAGAGGCAACGGGAACGGAGATGACTGTGTGGTGATCTCTGACTCCGATGACGAGCCCAGTGAGGAGATCGGTGAAGCTGAGCAGAGCCATAGCAGGGACGAGGAAGATGAGGAGGAGGGAGAAGAAGAGGACAGAGGAGCCGGGGCAGGTCAGTGTAATGTCAGAACTTTTGAAACGTGTCCCTTTTATACAGATCACAGTTTTTACAGTTATATAATGTTGTTAAAGTGCCTGTGACATTAAAATTTCATGATAAATATGAATGCATTATTGAAAAGCTAGCATTAAGAGAGAGCAAAAGAGATTTCATGCCACTGAGATGAACAGCTGTTGAGATATTTGCATGTGAAGTAACAGGAAGTGATGTCAGAGGGGAACACCTGCATGTAAACGTTGGTATAATGACTAACAACGCAGACTGTAGAGAAGAATCAGATGTTTCTTTAGATTACTTTGAGTCACAACGACCAGGGAGTTCCCCTACGGTGTCACTTCCTGTTTCACTTTGGTCAAAAGAAAACACGTCAGTTATTAAAGAAAATGTAAAATCCTGTGGATTACGCCAGATTTCCCAAATATTTGGATGTTTTCTTCCACTTTTTGTGTTTGTAGAACATTCAAGTCACAGGCACTTTAAAAGGCTTTTTATTCATTTGGATTGACGTGATGAAGGTTCATTCACTTTAACCTAATTCACACAACAGATAAATGTCTATTTCAGATGAGAGCCAGGAGGAGGAGGAGGAGGAGGAAGAGGAGCGTACTGGAGAAATAGTTATTGACGGTAAAACATCACTACTCTCATTGTTCCAGTTGGGCAGGCTGTAGGAGCAGTGGTTCACGTCTTTTAATTATCACGTGATCGGGTTTAGAGTTGACACATTTGTCCTGCAGGCTCTGATGACAGTGACCAGGAGGAGGAAGAGGAGGAGGAGGGGGTCTAAGAGGAAAGTGGAGGTGAAGAAAATTTGCACACCAGTCAGCTACAAAATTCAACCCCCCCACTTGTGTTGTTTCTGGTCCTCCCTGTGCCACAAAAACACATCTGACCCATCAGGACACGAACACAGAACCTCTGGGATCGTCTCGACTCAAAAGGTAAAACGGACGATGCTGCTCAGTCAGAGCCGAAGATCCGAATTGGTTTTGGACTTTGGGTCAGCGTTGAGTTTTTATGGCGCGTCTGGTCGGCAGCAACACGTACAGGTGATGTAAAAAAAAGTTTGGATGTGATGAACGAAGGTTTTCCCACCAGAACATCTCAACTCGCCTCAGCACCCGGGGGTTTTAATGTTGTGGCTGAATAGTGTTAAATAAGCAGGTGGGCCACCTTAGGGACCAGAGACTGCAACAATGAAGAGGAGGCTCAGCTGATGAACAGTGCAGACATCGACTCGTTCTTCCTGATGTTGGTTCTTTTTATGCACAGAGTATCAGTCTTTGTTTTTATACTGAAACACACAGAGAGGCTTCTAAATTCAGGGTTAACTGTAAGAATAAAGCCAAGGCAGCATGTCCCCCCCCCCACTCCTGTTTTATATAGTATAGTATATGCTGTGTGTTCTGGTGCACTCCCATTCACATTCTCTTGTTTTTTATTTTCATTTCTAAACATTTTCGAGGCACAGCACTCAACCCATCAGTGACATTTTGAATGTCGTTGATGGCATTACACTTTTGAATAAATATTCTTCAAATAAATAACTGAACTCCTTAAAGGCATTATTAGTGGTCGTTTCTTTTCATTTAAAGTGTTTTTTTTTTTTTTTAAAGACGCGTGACGAAGCAAATATGTCACGAGGTAAACCTGACGTGACCGTTTCAGATGCACTGAGTACTGAACCAAATCATGTTCTCAGGGATGATCCAGGTGGTGGTTGTGTATAAATAAATAAAAATAAAAAAATAGGCAAATTTTAAAACATTTACACACTTTACTGTTGGTTGTGTATAAAGAAATGTGTACTCTACTGTAGTAAATAGAAACAATAATTATTTTAATAGACTACCCGTGTTTATTTGCTTGTTCTCCATGTGCTGTCATATTCCCCCACCCTTTAAAGCACCTCTGGTGTTTTTATAATCTTTGTGTAATTTGATTCACGTTTGTGTCACACGCCTGGACATGAAGTAGAGTTGAAACACTTTTCAGTTGGGTCTGCGTACACAAACATCCAGTTTGTTTTCATGTGTTGTCTTTATGATCTGATTTATGAACAGGTTGATATTTATTAAAATAACAATTTCTACACATTTCACGCTAGGACACGCCTGTTGGCACCAGCTGTAACAGGAGGACATCGCTTACATGTTCAGTTCACGACAACGTAATGAGGTACACGCTAACAGACCTTATCTTTGCTTTTCTGTAAATACTTGGGCCGTGTCTTTTTAACTAAACTACTTGGTTAACCCATTATTAAATTTATCAGGAACATCTGATTTTTTCTTTTTTCAAGACCTAACCAGAAGGTTACACTTTATGTGCTGTGGATTTCTAGAATTGTGTAGTAAAGATGACTGTTATTTTTGGTTGATTTGCATTGCTTAAAAGATAAATGTTCTCTTTTTTTTTGGGATCAGGCTTAATAAAATATAAAAGTGATCGGTCTTGCTGTCTGTGTGATTTCTAGTTATTGGCTTTCTAGTCATTGGCTCCCTGTCAAGTTCAGAATTGGATTAAAAATCTTCTAACCTACAAATCTCTCAACAACCTAGCTCCATCCTATATTTGAGATCTTATTGTTCCATATTTTCCTAACAGAGCACTTTGCTCTCAGACTGCAGGTTTACTTGTGGTTCCTAGAGTTTCCAAAAGCAGAATGGAAGATCTTTCAGTTATCAGGCTCCTCTCTTGTGGAACCAACTTCCAGTTTCTGTCCATGAGGCTGACACATTGTCCAGTTTGAAGACTGGGCTTAAGACTTTCCTTTGATAAATCCTATAGTCAGACATTCACACAGTACTTGTGCTAAAATAAGAAACTTTAAATGCATTTGCAACCAACAGAATTGTTAATTGTCCAGAATCCAGTTTAAACTGTGGTGATTAAATCCTTAAGCAGCTTGTAGTCCAATGACTGGATCTGTATGTCTTGGTGTTTTCAGTGATATATGAGATGTACAGAAATGTACTTGTGTCTAAACATGTGACTATTTTTTTGGGTCATTTTAGAAGGTAAGACCTGAAATGCTTGATGCTTTAAACTTTAAATGTCACATTAAAGCTAATCTGTAGAAGCAGCTTTGCTTTCTGTGTCTAGAAACTTTGAAAGTAATGGGCAGATTATTTTACATTGAAGGAGTACAAAAAAAAAAAAAAAGATATTGTCAGAAGGGACTCAAAAGTAGCTCAAACCAGACTCATCTTGAGCAAGCATGAAGGCAACAGAGGAAAGGAAAAACTCCCTCATGAGGAAGAAACCTTTAGCAGAACCAGGCTCAGGACAAGCGGCCAGCTGGATTTGGTAGGAACAGATACACAATGGCAGGTCAAGAATCACATGTTAAGATAAAAAATGGTATCAAATGAAAACTATTCAATTTTAACAATTCATTTAAGGAAATGAGGTCAATTTGTCCTCCAGTAGTCTATAGCAGCATAACAAGCCAACCGTAACTGAGATTATAAGACAGCTTCATGCTCGACATCAGTTTCTGACCTCATACATGCTCTATGGGCACACATTTCCAGAGAAACCCTCCCACGATCATGCAAAAAGCCTTGAAAAGTGGAAGCTGACTAACAACACAGTTCCTGATGGTGTGAGGGTCAGGCGGGGCTAAATACTTTTACCCATTTAGTGCACATTAGTAACAGGACCAACGGTTCCACAGTCTTTAAAAGTATGGAATTTTTCAGATTTTCCAGATCTGGATAAGTAAGAAAAATGTCAGACTATAGGTAAACACTATCTGCATCTCCTACTGCTCATAGTCAGGTTGTGGAGGCAACAGGTCCAGGAGAGAAACTCAAGACATCCTTCTCAACACTCCCAGCTCCTCCTGGGGGACCCCAGTGTTCTCAGGCCAGATAAGATGCACAATCTCTCCAGGGTGTTCTGGGTCTTCCTCGGGGCCTCCTACCAGTGGGACGTGCTTGGAAAACCTCTAAAGCAGGGGTCTGCAACCTTTACAATCAAAAGAGCCATTCCTGCCCCTTTGTTCACTAAATTAAACGTGTCCGGAGCCATAAAACCTGCTACAACTGTGATTCTCAACTGGTGGCCCACGGACCACTTTAAGGTTGTTGGAGGTCAGTTTTTATGTCCATTAGGTTAGTTGGGTAGGGTAGTCTTCTGGTCATTGTAAAGCTGAAAATATCTAATGGTTTGTTGTTTTTACATTTCAAGACAAAAAAAAAGACAAGATTCTCATAAAGAAGGAAAAATAATATGTTCTTTCCCAAAAATATAACAATGAACTATGCAGGTTCAGGTAAATTATTTAAATTGTGGAAACATTAAGTATCCTACTTTGAATAAATAAAGTTAAAGTATATAATTCTAGTATTCACATATTCACAAAGGAAATGACAGAAAAACAGCTAAAATGAGCCCCTTTTTTTTGTTCTAAGAACCAATGAAATTCAGTTTAAAGTTAGTTTTGATCAACGCTTGGAAGAACCGCACAGAGGGACCGAAGAGCCGCATGTGGCTCCAGAGCCGCAGGTTGCAGACCCCTGCTCTAAAGGGAGGCATACGAATCAGATGAACAGATGAGCAGAGAATTCTCCAGGCTCCCTCTGGATGACGGAGCTTCTCCCCCATCTCTCAGGCTGAGCCCAGCCACCCTATGAAGGAAGCCCATTTTAGTTGCTTATATCCAGGGTTTGGTTCTTTCAGTCATGATCCAAACCTTATGACCATATGAGAGCTGTAACTTCAACAGACCAGTAAATCAAGAGCTTTGCCTTCAGACTCAACTCTTTCTTCAGCAGGACTGACCGAAGCAACGCCCTCATTACTGAGGACGAGGCCTCAATCCGTCGATCCATCACCTGCTTCATCGTACCATCATTTAAAAACTCATCCACCTGAGGCAACAGCTTCAGACTTAAAGGAAATGACAGTACATTTTGACATTTTGACACAAGAACTCCACAAAAATCTTCTGAAATGTCTGAAAATATGAATCTCAACAAGCGGGGAAGTACAAATGTAAACAGCTGTTTACAGTTCTCACATACTGCATGTAGGAACCATGAAGGACACCAAACTAGGACTTCTTGCACAGATTGGCCACAAGGTGACAGTGTTGTTGAGTGCATTGTTCATCGTTGACAGACTTCAGCTGTTCGTTTGGTAATACAGTAATAAATAGTTTGTCAGTGAAGATAGAAACCAGGCTTTCAGCTGTGAACCAGCGAGACGTTAAATCGAGTCTTAAATAAAATAAACTGCTGTTTTCAGTAGTTGTCTGACTTTTAAGAGCTGCACTATATAAAAGTCATTCTTAAAAAGAAAAGACAAAGAGGCTCAGCTGCTCCTGTAATGATTTTCTTATCTGAAGACAGAAGTGTGACATCACTGTCAGTCTGAATGCAAGTAGCCCCAGGAGAGACATTTTTGGACAGGTCCAGACAAAGGAACAGGAGCTCTGTTGCAACGGTACACCTAAACCCTTGATTCTGCTTTTAATGCACAGCTATAAATATTCCACTAGCTAAAACCTGCCGTGTCGCAGGCCCAGCCAGAGTATGCAGTGCAGGATGGGCCTTTACTATTAATACTGATGACGGAAGCCGTTTATCCCCCACAGAGTGATCCCGTGCTAACCGCGGCGTTTGACGCTCCGCTTTGGAGCTCAACGTGTTATAGCCATGAATTAATAATAGGGTTGGCTCCTGCAATATTAATTGTGACAAACTAAGTACAGATTGCCTGAACTGTAAAACCATCTTCAGAGGTGTTTTGTGGTTTTGGGGTGGGGGGTGTCTGTAAAGCCCTGTGTGCAGGGTGGCAAACCCTGAATGGATTCTCCGGTCGACACTAAGCTGGTGTTGTTACTGTACACAAGTGTTCATGTCGTGCTGCTTCACGTTTCTCGTGTTTTGAGCCGCTTGTAGCCGAACGAAGAATGAAAAGAGCTCAACGACTAATTCTTCATCTGTAAGATTGATGATGAAGGGGGGTGTTCTCTCCTGGATGGAGCTTGTGTTGCTCTCTGAGGCTAGATAATCTGAGAGGCTGAGGTGGGGCCTCTGAATATCAATTACACCAGTGCGTGTGTTGGTGTGTTTGCACATGTGCATGCTTTTGTGTCACTTGTAAAGGCGTGTATTCTCTCAGACATGCAGGAGTGTTTGCAGAGGCCGAACACCATATATACAGACGACGGCCCGCTCGACAGCATATCAAGATGAAGCGCAGCGCCGGGACGGCAAGACACTGCGGAGGAATGAGAAAAGAGGACAAAGTGAGCAGGACTGAGGGAAACGGATGAGTGCAGCGATAAGAGGAGCTGCCGGGCCCTGACAGATCCACACAGCAGATGGATGGCTCTTATCTGAGAGATCACAGAG